CTCAACAACCGGATTCTCTAGATTCGCCACATACTCACAATTCAAACCAGTGATGCTTTCAAATTCATTCAAAGAGAATCTCACTAGGTTAACGCCTACAAGACTCCACAACTCAAACTTCTTCTTGCATTCAAGCTGAAGAGATAGCATATAGTGCACCAGCCTTGAAGCCCATCCAAATTGCATTTCATGGAACTTTAAGAACACTCCCAACCTCGAGTTTTTTAGCTCATCCCATTCATCTGGCTCGAGGGCTTCTCTAAGAGAAGGAAAGAGCTTGATGTCATCAGAGTAGTGGCCAATGCTTCTTACTGGGTATGGTTCCTGCCCTTGTGTATATAGCCTCGGTGGGAATTCAAGTTCACTCATTCTGAAACCTGAAAACGAAAACATTCTCAATTAAAAGCCTAAATCTCAAACAAGCAAAGAAGTAAAAACAAAGTAAAGAAGCAAAAATGAAGTAAAGAAGTAAAAACGAAGTCTACAATTTAACTTAGATGTCTACACGGGAAGTCTAAAATTCAACTTAGTAGTCTACGGGAGATGTCTACATTTCAAACTGTACGTCTGCATATGAAGTCTACAATACAAACTTAGAAGTCTACAATTTAAAGTAGAAGTCTACAATCGGAATTAGAAGTCTACGACAGATCTGGAACAAGAATACAGTAGAAAGTTAATTAACCAAACTAAGAGGGAGTTTTACCGTTTGTTCGCCGGAGAGATGAAGCCTTAGTTCATCGAAAACCGTGAGACTCGCCGAAAGTACAAAGCTTGTTTAAATAAGAACCACGGTTTGTTCGCCGTTGAGAGAAAGCAGGACCGTGGTTCGTACGCCGCTCAGATCTGAAACAGTAAGGGTGAAGGTGATTAGTATCTTCCAACGTCGACGAAGGAGAAAACGAAGATAAAACCTTACCAGAGTGAAGATACAGAGCGACGAAGTGGACGGTAAGAGATTGACCAGTGAAAATGAGGTGGATTAGGTTCGCCGGAAATCGCCTCTAATTTCGCCTCCGATTTTAACGGCGTGTTTAGGTTTTTTTTTACAAGAAAACCCTAGATTTAGTATTTATATCCTGGGTAATTTTTCTGGTTTGGTTAAAAATTAGTCTTGGTTAAATCTGGTTAGTTATGTAGACTTCTATGTACATCTACGATGCGTAAATTTCCGGTTAGGTTAAAATGGATTGGTTAAAAATATTGCTTAAATATGGTTTGGTTAAAATGGTTTGGTTAAAAATTAGTCTTGGTTAAGTCTGGTTACTTATGTAGACTTCTATGTACGTCTACGACACGTAAATTTCCGGTTAGGTTAAAAATTAGTCTTGGTTAAATCTGGTTAGTTATGTAGACTTCTATGTACGTCTACGACGATATTGTTTTACTGATTTATTTTTTGACTAATAGTTTTAATATAAGATTTACTTTTATTTTTATTTTTTTGGACCCTTGTTATTTTGAGTTTTATAATATATTGTTTCAAATTTTATAAGTTAAGAACTACTATTATTTTGAAATAGTTATTTCCAAATAATAGTAGACTCCAAAGAACGTCTACTTACAATAAGTAGACATTATTGTAAGTCTATCATACCCTAAACCACAAATTCCAAACCCTAAAAATTTCTTCTTAATCAATAAGTCTCAAATATTATATCAAATGTCAAGATATACAAAATATAAACTACTCAGCATTAATATGTAAATTTAAGTCAATAGTAACAAAAGAAATCTAAATACAAAATCTAGCCCTAAGAATCTAACCCTAAAATACATCACATGGTAGAATATCTTTTGCTAAACCATAAAAATTTTGCAACACATAGTTACCTATCAAAATATATTCTTTAAAAATGTTTAATTATATGAAATTCTAATTTATATACCTCATATTGCTTCTTATATTGATGACCTAAAAGAAATTTCACACAATATATTTTTATACATTTTTAAAATAAAATTATAAGATTAAATTATAATGTAGACTTCGTAATAAGTCTATAATGTAGACTTCACGAGAAGTCTACACCCTTGTAGAATTCACTCTATAAAATGTAGACTTCATAAAGACAAAATTGTAAAATTGCATTCCATTTTTTTTAAGTCATAAGGGGTAAACAGACATTTTACTACCCCTTTAGGTTGGTTTTTCATTTGATTGAAATTGGGGTACACTTTTGCATTTATTTTTGAAATTTTAGGTTGGTTTTAGCAAATGTCCCTAGAATTTATGATATACGATTAATTTAGGGTATGATATATATATATATATATATATATATATATATATATATATATATATAAACATGTCTAATATAGTGTTTTATGACATAGTTTAGTATGAGGTTTGTGGTTTAGGGTTAAAGATTTAAAATAAGTTTATGGTTAGAGTTTGATTATAAATAGGAAGAATAGGGTTTGGTGTAGGGCTTGGTGTTTATAGTTTATATGTTTGCTTAAGTTTAAAATTAAGATTTTGTATTTAGAGTTTACAATTATGGTGTGTAGTGTATAATGTTAGAATTTAGAGTACAATTTAAAATTTTAAAGTTTATAATTTATAATTTATGGTGTAGGTTAATATGAAGTATGTGGTTTATGGCTTAGAGTTAAGATTTATAATTAAGTATATGGTTTGAGTTTTATAATATATTTGGAGTCTAAGTTCAAAATTTATATTACAAAATTTTAAAATAGATTTAAGACTTTGTATCTAAGATTTAAGTTTGGGGTTTAAGATTTAATGTTTGAGGTTTAGAATTTAAATTTGAGATTATACTTTTAAAATGATTAAATTTTAGATTTAAATTATATTATGAAAATATTGAAATTTTAATGTTTATGTTTAGGGTTTAAACCCCAAATTAATCATATACCAAAAGCTAACTAAAAATCTTAAAACTCTATTGTTCATTATTTAATTTCAAATCTTAAATTTAGTCTACAAGTTGAATTGTCATTTAGACATTGCAATTTAATCATATACTCTAAATTAGATAAATCTTTTACTGTTTTTGTAACCATTTGAGATACATTGCAATTGAGTTTTTTAAAATCAAAATTCGTTTACAAGACTATAAGTCTATAACCGTTTTATCAAACTAATACAACAGTTTAATGTAAAGTACCAGAGACATCAAAGGTACACCAAGATCAAAGACAAGAATTATTTAATTGCTTTTCCTTTCAAAAACATAAGCCAAAGAAGTAGTACTAGGCTCATTGATAATACGAAGAACATCAAGCCCAACATCAAGAACATCAAGCTCATTGATAGTATTAGGAAAGGGAGCCATCTTTACTGTCATAGACAGTCATGACTCATGAATCCTTTCTTGCTTTCTGCAGCAACCGAGCCACATCATCACTGGAAGAAAATAAGAACACAAAAAATAGTGTTTACTTTTCAGCTATAATAGTGTTTTTGTGTTCCCGCTTAATGAAATTCTTTGGTAGTGCAAATTTAATGCTAAGATAAAGTTATGTTCTGATTTTAACACTTGGTGAATTCGTGCTACCGTGAACTGTTACCAATGCCTATATTTCTTGTAGTGTTACAATAATTGATTTGACTATCTGTTCACTTACCTTTTCAATCAAATATTAGTTTAGAACTCCAATATTAAGCATGTTTTGATGGGAGTAGGGGAAGGATGGTGACTTATCATGAAGTTATTCGTGATATCGTGTGAGTGAAGCAACAACATCGAGAAATGTCATGTGATGATGCTCATTAAAAGTATTTTGAGATTCCCAAAAAATAACATACCGCCCCTCACACTGAATGAGGCTCATTGGCCGAGTAAGCGGTGTGGGAGGCCCATTAACTTTGGAAATTTGGGGCGTTAAACGGTTTTAAGAGACAAACCCGGACAGGTGTCGAGCCATTGTATGGGGCTCACAATAATGGGTAATGATCTTAGGGTGCAACGAGGACGTTTTACTTTGTGAGAGGGGATGAATTGTAACATCTCGGCTTATTAGTAAACAAGACTTTTGAGCGTCAAACAATTAATGCATTGTCAGTCGCACGAAATGGGCCACAAGTTGAATGAACATGTGTGGGAGGCTCATTAGCCATAGCATGTCAGGACGTCACACAATGAATATGTAAATAGTAAGAAAGATAAACTAAATCAGTGGTAAGAAAAGAAGTTTATGATAAAACACGACACACAAAAAACAAAAAACAATTTAGTAGTCAACATCAATGGTCAATATAATATGTACAAAGTATTCTATCATTGAAGGGTTTTAACATGAATCTCACATAAATTATGTTGATTTCTTTATTGAAGGTCTATTAAAACGAATATCTCACACATTTTACTATTATTTAGCTAGAGAATTTTAGAAGCTGAAGAAACTCATGATAAAATCTCTTCATGGATTTTTCATCTCTTATTTGACATGATTTTTCAAATGCATACATAATTTTTTTATTAAATATCAATATAACTTATGTTTAGAATTTATATTATGCAGTTTGAAATAAACTTTGGTATTTAGCTGGAAGAATATCATCATCCTTGTAAGGGACATATCTAGCTGAATTTTACTTTCAGGGAGATGTGTGTAAGTAGATTCTTCCTTTTTTAATGAATCAAATAAGTAAAAACATGAGAATCCATTATTAAAAGAAAAAAATATATAAAAGTTTGATGAAGTTGAAATTAAAAAAAGAACCAATTATTTTGAGAACTGAGATGCAGACAAATACGAAACACCAAGTCTCTAATTCATTTCATTAGAACTATGGTTGGTTTTGGTTTGGAGGTTCGGAAAATGGTCTCGAAGGTGTTGATGCACCAGCAGCTCAATGAACATCACCCTGATCATTTTATCTCATCCCAATGGTTTCATCCACATTCCTTTGTGCATCCATGTATAAGTTGATTCTCCTGATCCTCAGTCTATTGCAACATTTAATTAACATGGACGAATAAAAATTGTTTTGCAAAATCACAAGGTATAAGAAGGTTAGAATATTGGGATACCTTATCCATGATGGTTACCAGTTCATTACTTTCTGAATCTATTTCTCTTTTCAAATTATTGAGAATATTATTGAGAACCAATTCTCTACCAACATAACCATATATGGGGTCGTTTATACGAGCCTCAGCCTCGTAGCAAAGAGCGTTAACAGCATTTTCACGATGCTGATGTTCATCAAGATCATTAAGAATCTTGCGGACATTTTCGGCTCCAAATATTTTATGAACGCGATCAAACTTTTCCCAGTCCATTGATGGGAAAAATGGTCTGCAATTGCATGGTTTCCCAAGTCTACAAGGGCCGTCGTACATGAATTCGCATACAGAAAAAAATTGGTAAATCCATTCTTCTTCTTTTTAGATTTTCCTTTAATTTTTAAAGAATACATTAGAAATTGAATTTTAATTAAAGAACATGCGCATTCTATAGACAAAATAATATTTTTATAGATAAATAAAACTTCAAAATTGAATTATAAAGGCATGGACATAAAATAATATCTTGTGAAATAATTGATAGTATATATAACTGAAAAGATATTGAATGGTTTAATACTACTTTTAAAAAAAGAACCGAATATCGCTTTTGAAACCCACAAAATTTTAATTTAACTAAATTTTAAAATGAAAAAGGGAAAATAAAACTAAGTTAGAAGTTAGGATACTTCATAAAAACCTTACAAACCTATCAATCAATACTTGATTATGCGTGAAGAATCTTAAAATTGTGATTCTGCAAAAGAAATTATTTTTCTTGAATTTGATTGTTGTTTATCGGGATAAAATGTCTCAATTATAGGCAATGATATACATAAGAAAACAATGAATCTAATAAATACATAGGTTTGACCATGATGTTTTGTTAATTTACTAAAGATGAGAGATTTAAATATTTTGTCATCTAAAAATTTGATTATAACAGTTTACTGTTTTGGCAAGATAATACTATGACCAATTTAATTTGATAAGCATTTATTTTATATATTACTCATCTTTTTAACTAATATTTAAGTATTTAATATGAGCACCCACATGATACATGTATAACTACATTTTCATAAATTTAAATTGAATTGTCATAATTGCGTTATACTCATTACTAAGCTATAATGCTGGTCTCACAAGCTCTTTGCCATAATGAATTCAGATGCGTTAACGGGTGTGTCGACTACACCAAAAATCATATCCGTAAAAAGTAACTCGACATGAATCATCGGGCAAGGAGATTTCTCATAGTCGTTTTTAACCCTAATCAACTATTGTAAGAAATCTTTTATGTTTTGATTTTCTTTAGACATGACTCTCTATTACTCGATAAAAATAAATATATAACTTGAATCTTGTGAACAAATGGAGGGATCCTAAAATAGTTTTGACTCTTTATGTCAGAGATAATATAGATTATGGCTTTGAGTCACACAAAAAACACACAACTATCAAATCCTTACACAAATCATTTTAATTGCTACAAAATTACTTTCCATCTTACCTCGAAATTTGGAAGTTAATTAACTATATGATATTAGCATCTTATGTGACTCATATAACTGAAGATCATGAAATGACAATTGACAGTTTTTACCCCTGTTTGGAATTATAAAATATAAACTATAAAGTTAATACGCTATAACTTTCATCAAAATTATGAAAATAAATTTCACTTATAAATTTTATTTCAAAAGAAAATTATTTTGAAAGTTAAAAAATAGTAAAATAATAAAATACAAAAACTTAGGTGGATAGGCAGTCATTTAGGCGGGGTAGGTGGATCAAGATCGGACATACAATTTTTTTAGATCGTTTTGATATAAATCGGAGAAGATGAGTGACGTCTAGCGCCTAGACGCCCGATTTTTAGAACATGGATTTATAATAATACAATGAATTTAACATAAGAAGGATGTATGAAAAATATGTGATAGTATAACTGACTATCTTTTCCCCTTAAGAATTATCGTAATATCCACACAAACTTATGCAATCATTCTAGATCTTTATAAATTTAAAGTTTACAATCTTATTACACTTGAACGTGAAAGTTTAAAATCTATTTATCTATACGGTGAACTTCTTCTTTTATCCAGTCAAACGAAACATATACCTGGTTCGTAGGAAAGCAACCAATTTTAAATCCAAATGAACTTGTGATCAAGTTCGGTTTCAAAAACAAAACCTAAAAAAAAACAGTTTGGGAAATAAGTTTATGGGTGAGCAATTCGAGGTCTTTAAGGGAAATATCAAATGGAAATGGAAAGGTATCAGGTATTCCAAACAAATATTGGTGTGAGTTTGAAATATTGTTAAAGATGCCAAACTCTGAGCACAATCCACACTAACGTTACTATCTATTGATGTGCTTATATGGTACCAAGGAAGATAAATCCAAAACTATAGCTTGTGAATTGTGAATCATTTGTAGCATGTGAATCTCATTGTGATAATGTATTAATTTTAAAGTTGTTAATGACAATCATGCTTTCAAGTGGGTTGATGAGGGATTGTTAGATGAGATATACACATTACTCAATAAAATGATATACTTGAAGAAATGGTGAAAACGATTACGATAGAACATAAACATTGTGATTCTCATTGTTATAATGTGTTAATTTTAAAATTGTCGAATGACAATCATGCTTTCAAGTGGGTTGATGAAAGATTGTTTGATGATATATAGACATTACACAACAAAATGATAGACTTGAAGAAATAATAAACGAGATTAAGACAAAACATGAACATCGTGAGAAGAATGTATTTCAGAAATTAGAACTGAAGCTAAAGTAACACATATTTGAGAGAGTGAGAGCTGTATTGGTGAATTCAAAAGAAAGGAGAATGTATGTTGTAGGTTTAATTGGGTGGATAGTGTTTGTTTCTCTCATGAAAATTGATATCAATCAAATTACCCTTAGGAGTGACTTTACTCTCTCAAATAAGAGGTACAAATGTAGTACTTAGGGATCAAATCCACAAGGAGCTAGGGAATCAATTAGATCTAAACAGTTATGAATTATCTAGGTAAATAATTATAAAGCAATAATTATAGCAAGCAATAAATAAAACAGTAAACAAGATGAAAAAGACAATTGTTTAGCTTGGCAGGGAGTTGTTTGATAGAATGATGGTTGCTAGATCTAGGGTTTCTATTCAGGTGGTTGAGATTATAATCCTATATGTGCTAAACAGTTGTATGCATGATATTGAAGAGCTTAACCACTAAGTAACAAATCAAGCCAAGCATTCGCGTTACTGAATAAGTCTATTAACTAGATCTATTGACCCAAACAAGAATGTTCGATCAATAGCAGTGTCGATCGATATTCTATAAAATATCGATCGATACCCTTTACTCGATGTCGATCGATTTTCAATGGGAATATCGATCGATGTCGCTAGTCAAGCGTTATGCGTGGGTTAATCTATACTCACTATGGATCCCTAGATCAAACTCTCGCTGTATTTCTAGTAAAATCCTAGCTTAATAAGATGTATTGAGAAAATCAGAGTTGTCTACAGGTTTCTCAAACAATCTAAACTCCTTAGATCAGGTTTCTAGGTAGCTAATCTAGAACATAGGCATTAAGAACATCCTATTAATGAATATCACAACAAGCGATCCTATAGTTGGGGTAAATCCCTCTAACATATTTGAACCCTAAACTTAACAGGTGGATCTATTCATACATGAAGTTTGTCACAGAAATCATAAATGAATAGATATGAAATATAGGAGCAATAGAATAAATTATAAAACCAATGGAGTTCCAGGGGGACTCTGATGGAATTAATCCCTTCTCTCCTAGAACAAAGAACAATGAACAAAAGAAAGCTTAGGTAATGCTAGCTGATCAACAATGTCTTGCAAATAACACAAATAGGGTTTCTGGTCGTCTTGGAGCATTCTGGTAATTTGTCGTAACTCCTGGGCCTAAATCAGTCATAAAATATGTTCGACCCGCGTTCTGATATCTCCATCGATCGATACAAGTAGTGTTGCATCGATCAATTTTCCTTTATCTTTTGACAGCTTCCTCTCACGAGGCATACTGACCACTCTTCAGTAAAATGGGCATAACGTCTGCTACATGATTCTGATTGACTTCAAACCGGTGGCATTGAAAAAATAACTCAAAGCTCTAGCTTGTTTCAAAGATGGGATAAATCTAACGGTGGTAAGGTCTCTATCCATAGCTAAACATATGACGCGTCTATGCAGTTCTGCACTCAAAGGCTCCAAAAGACACCAAAATCACTATATACATGAAACTGTAATTACTCTAAAAAGTCTCTATAATATTATAAATAGTTATTAAAACACTCATATACCATGACTAAAAGTGGGTCAAAATCATGGTATATCAACTTCCCCAGACTTACCATTTTGCTTGTCCTCTAGCAAAACAATCAGGCAGTCTCTCTGAAAGAGGTTACAGCAGGGACTCACAAAATCTTTAACTTACTACTATCACCTCTACTATGTTGCAACCACATCAAATAAGTGATAACCTCAAAGATACTTGATATACCATATCCTAGCTTAGCATCCCAATCCAATCTACCAGCAACTTAGCAAATACTAGCTTGACTCACCCCTCTACTAACCTCATTTATTACATAAAATAAAGTGCATGTATTATCTTGGGAGTATCGTTCAGATGTGATATACCATGATTTTGACCCGCTTTTAGCCATGGTATTGATATGTTTTTATAAGTTTTATATTTGTTTTGGAGTCTATTAGGTATGTTATCAGGTTCATGAGCATTTTGGAGTAAAGTGATGATTTAGGTGCCCTTATGGAGCTTAAATGAGAGTTTTCCGAGATGACTATGAAGATCTGACAACAAGGATACATATCGATCGATACACACCCTGTGTAATCGATCGATGACGCTTCTATAGAAGATGAAGTTGAGATACTCCATCGATCGATGTACGCCAAGTACCATCGATCGATATCAAGCGTGGAGAACAAGTCTGACTTGGCCGACTTGAAGCCCAAGTTTTCCCAATATTAAAATATTGCCCCTGACGAGTTTTTAACCTAATGGAACTCATATTTATAGTTTTGCCTATGTGTTTTGGCTAGATATGCTTTATTGTTCTAGTGCTTTTTGTATTTCAAAAGCTTTACATGCTTTTTATGCTCTTTACTTTATAAAGTATTCTTTTCATCTTAATTCTCAAAGGTTATAGAATTCTAGATTTGAAGAAACACACAAAGAGATTTGTTGTTCCAAAGAACCAAGAGTTTAATCTTCTAATCTTATGAATTTCTATTATTACCTTGCTGTTATGAATCTCTTAGC